GTCACTTTGCTAATATACACTTCAAAATTTCCTTTCAACCATAGACCGGGACCCCAGCAACGGTCAGCCATTCCTACTACGATAACAGGGGCTTTTTTAGTCTAAGCTCCAGTCCATCACCATGCCAAACCAAGAAAAGCGAAAGAGAGTTCCAAGCAATGAAAATGTACTGTCTACATCTACACAGGTAAAGTTAATCGATGTGATGACAACCGCAAAGATTTGAACATAAGTTTCCTGTGAGGTTTTCAAGCAATAATCCTTATAGTATACTTTGATAGCAAGCAAAACGTTCGAAAATTCTGGATTTTCGTGAAGAGGGTCATCCAAGCCTTGGCACTTCATGCGTGCAATTTGCTACTGCTACAAGACCTATGGAGCTCAACTTCCCGCAAGCCCCGAAAAACAGCGAGAGTGAATTGGCGGCAAGGGTGAGCGAGGCGTTTGGTGCGGCTGCAGGTAGACCTTTTGCTAAGGAGAATCTTGAGCGAGCAAAAAGGTGGCTTCACTTTCGAGGCCTAGTCATATCCGAGACCACTACCGGAAGCGAGGCGACTCTGGCACAACAGATTGTGCAGCATCTCAGACACGAGATTCCTCACGGATTTCGCCTCTACACATTGGACGGGAATCCTATCATTCCAAAAGGCTTGCTCTTGCTCGTAGCCATCGCCCATTACTATGCCATCAGGATCGTCATTTTCTCTACTCGTTGCAAACCAATTGAAATTACTCCAAATGAGTTCAGCTACACAGTTGCACTCCTGCGCCATCAAGATTCCATCCTGTCAGTGGGGGGATGGTACCCGCTTGAACTGGCCAAAAATTGGGTCGAGAGAACACCTTCAGTACATATGACCCCTACCCCACTGATGGCCTCTCCAGCTGCAGTCAAAAGGCCCCAAGGAGCAGCGCCTAAACGGAAGTTGCCTGCAAATTATGCATCAATTAGTGATGATACACTGAAAGATTTGCTTCGCATAGTAATGTAAGTGTGGATTATTGTTCTTTTATTTTCATTTTAGGATGGTTTGCTTACTGCTTATTTTTTCACATTACAGGAAAGAGCGCCTCCAAAACGACTACGAAAAGGAAATGAAGCAGAATCCCACACTGAAGAAACTGGACGATTTCAAAAAAACGAATATTAATCAGACTTCGCCACCGCGAGGCTATGTCCAAAGTGTACTCAAGAGACTCGGTGAAACAATAGATACAAGCAACATGAATGGACTTGGTTTGTCCAAGTGTCTCGGGAGAATGAAAGACCCCAGTACAATGCAAATATGGAAAGAAGTAATGGAGGAATATCTGGCAGCCATTTCAAAGAATCCCAATATTTGCACTCCTTCGCAGAGTTCTGGTTC